TCAGTGTGGACACTGCACGCACAGTAGGCACACACGCCTCTGCACTGACTGTGTTGTTCCGTCATTCATCTGTCTGTATCAGTGTGGGCACTGCACGCACAGTAGGCACACACGCCTCTGCACTGACTGTGTTATTCCATCATTCATCTGTCTGTATCAGTGTGGACTTAGAGATGTTGATGTCACACTTGGATGTTTTCCTTCCCTGCGACTCTGTTTATCTTGGTGCCCAAATCGTGCTGCCGTGGGGGCCCCCCGGTGTGTTGTCGCCGTCACATGGCGTCACCGAGTTCTTGCTCTCTGTTTTGTGTTCTGAGCGCAGCCTGACTTCCCGGCGATGCGGGTGCTCCAGGCTCCCCGTCCACCCCGTCCTGCAGTCAGCCCTTCTCCAGGAGCCGTCAGTACTCAGCACCCTCACTGAGTACTGGGGACCGAGGCCTGGGTGCTGGGTGAGCTGCGTGCTCCTGGGTGCGCAGGCGCCTGTGGACACGGCCGGTCGCGGGGCGCGTGTGCTCACTGTGCGCAGGCGCCTGTGGACACGGCTGGTCGCGGGGCGCGTGTGCTCACTGTGCGCAGGCGTCTGTGGACACGGCCGGTCACGGGGCGTGTGTGCTCACTGGTGCACAGGCATCTGTGGACACGGCCAGACACGGCCGGTCACGGGGCGCGTGTGCTCACTGGTGCACAGGCATCTGTGGACACGGCCGGTCGCGGGGCGCGTGTGCTCACGGCCGGCCGCGGGGCGCGTGTGCTCACTGTGCGCAGGCGTCTGTAAATGATGTAAACCTCCCTTGAGGTCAGGCCCAAACGCCTACCTTGCCCAAGGCCCAGAGTGGCACCCGGTGTTGCTCGTGTCGGGGTGAGGAAAGAGCGCTGTCCCCGAGGGGGTTTCTGTGAGGGCGCTGGCCTGAGCGCACGTTATGGGGGTGGCGGGGGTCTCACAGCAGGAACTCCAGGGCCCAGCCGCTCCCGTCTGACCAGCTGTCCTCGTCCCCCGTCTCCTGAAGCTCCCCGCTCCCTGCGGCAGCGCAGGTGTGGAGACGGGGTGTCACGCCTGGGGGTCCCTGCCACACGTGCTGCCTCACCAGGACTTCCCTGGGCGGGAGGGCTGCTCAGACAGGGCGCTGCCCTCCTCCCAGGCTGACGGAGACGCAGTTTGCAACCACCATCCGTTTCACGTCGCCACCATTAACTAGCCCCACTGTTGTGGGCACTGCCTCACAGACCGTCCAGGACGGCCGGCAGTTTCTGAAGTATGTCGACCCCAAGCTGGGAGTCCCGCTGCCAGAGAGAGACTACGGGGGAAACTGCCTCATCTACGACCCCGACAACGAGACTGACCCCTTCCACAACGTCTGGGTGAGGCACCGGGAACCCTGAGGCGGGTCCCTCCCCAGGTGCGGCCCTCAGCCGGACCAGACACTGCCCGTGCCCCGGCCTCACACCACACGCACCTCGGCCCATGCGTGGGGTCCGCTGCTGGCCCTGAGACGTGCTCAGGCCGCATCCCTGTGGGAGGTGCTCGGGGGCGGGGGGTTGCCAGGGCGTGGTCTCCGCAGCACCTCTGAGTCCCTGGCTGGGCGCTCGGGGTCTGGCTGGGCTGCCAGGGTGGGGGTGAGGCGGCTGTGTCCCGGGGTCAGGGTCACACCCTGTCGCCCACAGGACAAGCTTGATGGCTTTGTTCCCGCACACTTTCTCGGCTGGTACCTGAAGGTTCGTCACCTCCTGTCCCAGGCCGCCCCGTGCCCTGGGCTGTTTCTGCCCGTGGGGTTGTCCTGGGGTGCTCTGAGTGTGGTGGGAGGGGATGCGCTGTACCCACCCAGAGGTTCACGAAGCCACGGAGCTCCCGGGCCTCCCAGAAGGCCTGGGGCTGAGCCCTGATCCTGGCGGGGTCCCAGCTTGGTCCTGGGGCAGGGCGGTGGAGAGGCAACAGGGCAGGAATTCCCGCCCCGCCTGGGCTTGGGCACTGCCCATCCCACTTCTCAGGGGGCCTGTGCTACCTGTGGGGCCAAGAGCAGTGCCCACTTGACCCGGCAGCCCCTGCACACAGCCTCGGCCAGTGTGGCAGAGGGACACGTTTCCCCTGCAGAGCTTGGCGTCAGGCCGGGGCATGGGGCTGCTTTGTTTGCTGACTGTCATAGCATCAAGGCTGCTGGAGGGGCAGCTGCCCACCCCACACTCACCCCGAGACCTCACTGGGGACCACTCACCCCACGCTCACCCGGA